TGTGTGGCTTCTTTTCTGTCCTGGAAGTGGCAGTACCAGTGCCATTTGTATGATGCCCAGGATAGGCCTGGACGTCGAAGACATGTGGGCCTGTTGGTGGGGGGCAGATGCAGTTAGCAGGAAAGAGGTTGTCCAGCCATTCGAGGACATTCCTAGAGTTCCTAGAGCCAAGAGTCCCAAGAGAAATACCTCATCTCTCCCCCAATTCTCTATAGAAGATGCTTTTATTTTTAACAGCTTTATCAAGATATATTTCACATACCATACAATTCACCCATTTAAAGTATACAATTCACAGATACATGCAACTATCACCACAATTTTAGAACACCAGTAAGTCTTAGAACATTTTCCTCACCTTAGAAAGAAACCCAGGGCCGGCCCCGTGGCCGAGTGGTTAAGTTCACACAGTCTGCTTCGGCAGCCCAGGGTGTCGCTGGTTCGCATCCCAGGCGCAGACATGGCACCGCTTGTCAGGCCACGCTGAGGCAGTGTCCCACATGCCACAACTAGGAGGACCCACAACTAAAATATACAACTATGTACCAGGGGGCTTTGGGGAGAAAAAGGAAAAATAAAAAATCTTTAAAAAATATATATATACACAACAACGTACCAGGGGGATTTGGGGAGAAAAAGCAGAAAAAAAAAAAAAGAAGCTTGGCAACAGTGAGGTCAGGTGCCAATCTTTAAAAAAAAAAAAAAAAAGAAAGAAAGAAACCCTATACCCTTTAGCTATCATTTCCCTAGCTGCCGCTGCCCCCTCCCCAGCCGTAAGTAACCACGAATCTACTTTCTGTTTCCCTGTTCTAGACATTTCATATGAATGGAATCAGATCATATGTGTCTTTTATGACTGGCTTCTTTTACTTAGCATCATTTTTTCAAGATTCATCCATGATGTAGCATCTATCAGTACTTTATTCTTTTTATGGCTGAATAATATTCTGTTGTCTGAATGTATGACATTTTGTTTATTTGTCAGTCGATGGACATTTGGGTTGTTTCTACCTTTTGGCAATTATGAATTGTGCTGCTATAAACATTTGTTTGCAAGTTGTTGTGTGGACATATGTTTTCATTTCTCTCGGGTATATACCTAGGAGTGGAATTGCTGGGTCATATGCTAACTCTGTGTTTAATTGTTTGAGGAACTGCCAGATTGAGATCGTTCATGCTCTTTTAATTAATCCAAAAATTATATCTGTTCTTTGGAAAATATTTTAAAACAGAAAATTTTGAAGATAAAAACATTTGATCACCTTTAGTTCTATCGCTCAGAGAATATCCTTGTAGGATACTTTTTCTGTGCATATTGTTTTTAATGAGACCATACTTGGCATAATATTTTGTAGCACATATTGTGAACATCTTTTCATGTCAATAAACATCTACATCATTGAGTTTCAAACTTCTTTTACTATGAGAATCCTTCCTTCAAAAGACTATTTTCCAAAAGCCCAATATGTAATCATTCAATAATCAACAATTACTTTTTGGGACCCTGCCAGGGGCCAGGCAGCCTACACCCCCCTGACTCACGCTTGTTCTCTTTTAAAGGCTGCAGATACTGCACAGTATGGAGAAACTGCCCTCGTTGTCTGTTCTCCTATTAACGGACACCCATATCTCTGTTTCATTGATATTAACAATGACTCAGAGAACATATGTCTGTGTGTACTTTTATCATCTCCTTAAAAGAAATCGCTAGAAGTGGGATAGTGGGGTCAGAGGCCAGCCTTGAGGCTCTGGCCTATGCGAGGTGCTGGGAGACAGGAGAAGAGGTAAATGACTTGATCCCTGTTCTTCAATAGCTCACTCAGCTTGAGGAGATGAGATTCAGGAAAGGGAAAGGGAGATTTCAACAAATAAAGCCCATACCTTCCTCTTTAGGAATCTATTCTGTGCATACCTGGTGCATCATTGTAAAACCTAATAACCTAAATGTTCAGCATTAGAGAATTGAATAAATATAGACCATTATGGCACTCATATGGATTCATCTCCAAGTAAAATAAAGAAAGAAACGTGTAAAACAATGTTTCATCTACCATTGGTGTATTTATAAAAATATGGGCATATATATGCTTGTAAATGTAGAGACCTGCACTGTCCACTATGGTAGCCACTGATCCCATGTGGCTGTTGAGCACTTGAAATGTGGCAATTTGGGATGTGCTGTGAGTGTAAAATGCACACTGGACTTTAAAGACTTGGTACCCAAAAAAAGGTATGTAAAATATCTCATTAATAAGTGTTATATTGATAATATATTGAAGTGATAATATTTTAAATGTATGAGGTTAAGTCAAATATCAAAATTTCATGTTTCCTTTTTGCTTTTTTTAGTGTGGCTTCTAGAAAATTTTAAATTACATATGTGGCTCCTATTTGTGCCTCCATTGTGTTTCTATTAGCTAGGACCATTTTAGACTATCTCCAGAAGAATATGGAACACATTTATCATAGTAGCTGCCTCCGGGGAGGGGTCCTGAAGCTTTATGTGGGGTGGGAGACTGACTTTTCACTGCCCTTTTATACCATTTGAATTTTCTCCTCTATTTGAATTTTTGGTACCATGTACCACTTTTTAAAAACCATTTCATGGGCTGGTCCAGTGGCGCAGCAGTTAAGTTTGCATGTTCCACTTCGGCAGCCCGGAGTTCGCCGGTTCAGATCCCAGGTGCGGACCTACGCACCACTTATCAAGCCATGCTGTGGCAGGCGTCCCACTTATAAAGTAGAGGAAGATGGGCACAGATGTTAGCTCAGGGCCAGTCTTCCTCAGCAAAAAGAGGAGGACTGGTGGCAGATGTTAGCTCAGGGCTAATCTTCCTCAAAAAAAAACAAAAAACAACAAACATTTCACATGTCACAAGCCATGACAGAAAAGGCACTAGAAAAAATAATCCTACCAAGAAGATGCTGTGTGGGAAGAGGCTTGGAGAAGCAGAAGGATTTGGCAAACATGCAATAATTTTTCCTCCTCTTCTGCCAAGGGCCCAGGGTCACACTAGACCCTCTCAAATGAGCCCAGAACTTGATGTGTACAGTCCAGCACCAGGGCCTTCCTTTCCATGGGTGGATGGAGCCTTCTGCAGCTCAGAAGTGTCATTGTAACCAGGGCCTGGCTGGATGGGAGGATTTGTTTCTCTTACAATATGGTTGCAAATATTTATTTTAGTTTATTTTTATTGACTAGTTTTGTTTTTTTGGTTTTTTTAATTGAGCACGTAATCTATGATCTACTTGGCAAAAGGAGATTCAGGAAGATACACAGAGCTGATGTGTGGGATGCTCTGGAATGACTCCTCTGTGATCCTGGCCCCTCTTCACTGGCCCAGAGGTGACCTCTGACTGGGATTTCTAGGGATTCAAGAATGTAACTCCCCCATCTCCCGCCGCAGCCCCACACCCTCCCCACACCCGGTAGAGGTGTGTGTGTGTGTGTGGATAACACCTGATGGGATGATTTTGAAAATGCAACCCTCAGGGAAGTTTTATTTCCGGTCTTTGAGGTGGGAGGCCTCACAGTCTGCCTCCTTCTCTTCCTCCTCCTCCTCCTCCTCCTCCTCGCCTCCCCTTCCCCAACCAGGGCAGTCACAGCCTGGGCTGTGAGTAGTGGCTGGAGGTCCGTAGCTAGATCCTTGACCTAGGACGATGAACCGGAAACCTCAGCCCTGCTCAGCGCGTAGCATAGCGCCTGGCACAGCACATAAACTGGGCAAAATATTGAGAGAAGCAAAAGTCCTCATCGCCCCTCTCAGGTAGGACTGGGGTCTTCCCACCCCTTTCTTCTACGTGTCCCCCCGCCCCTCTCACCCAAACCCCCACCACCAGGCTCTCCCTTCTGCCACTCCGACCCACTGCAGCCTTGGCCGAGGGTTGGGGCTGCACGGTTAGGGGCGCAAGGCCGCAGCTCCTTCCTTCCTGGGCTGCGCTCCGCCCAGCCAGAGGCCACCTCTTCCCTGGGAAGATCGGATTCGGAAGCTGCTTACCGCCCCCTCGATGTCGGGCGCAGCCTTCTGAAAGTGAGCTCGCTGGAAGGTGATTAGATAATTAGAAGATGCTCAGTTTAAACTAGTGACAAATTTGGCCTACCTGATCATCAAACAGCAATTAAACAGTATGATGCCATTGGCACCACATTAGCCAAACCATCAACGGTTATGAGATACTTCCATAACTGGGTTTTGAGGTCGCCGACACCTTCTTTGGCCCCCACTGCCAAAACTCATGCCTAGGCCAACCATTAGAGCCTGCTCTGGGGCTGCCGAAGAAAATCGGACCCCTTGGGGTCACATCTAACCTGGGGCCCCCGGAAGCGCTCATCAGTTGCACGTGGGCCCCCACCGCCGGTCCACCTCCTGCGCTGGGGGGCTGCGCGTGGGAATTACGCTTTGGCGCCACTCCACGCTGCCAGTCGCGGGGGCAGGGAGGCTGCGGGAGCAGAGGCGCCTGGGGCGAATCTCGGCTCCACCACTTGCCCAATCGCGTGACCTTGAACGAGTTAATGAACTTCTGCACGCCTCAAAGTCGGGTCTGTGGAGAGGCGAACACAGACCGTGCAGCGCAGCTGTGTTTGGCAAACTCCAAGAGCGGAGCCTCTCAAGATGCCTACGGTGGTTGTAAATTATATTAAACCTGCCTGGGGTCCCTCTGAGGCCACCCTAGGGGGTTGCTGCTTTCTCTGGGGCTCTCTCCGCTGGGGGTGTGCAGCTCCAAACCACATCCTGAGAAGCGGAATTTGGGAAGCCAGGATCCTCGAGCCCTGGCTGGGGGGCTGCGGAGGGCGTGGGAGAAACCCCAATTCCTCCACCCCACCCAAAGCCTGGGACTGGGCGGTGCCATGCTGGTCCAGCCTCCGCGCCTTTCACTCCCGCGGGCCCCGCCCTCTTCCCCGCCCTCTTCTAACCCGCGCCCCCATTGGTGGCGTACGGCGGCGCGGCCGCTGTTATTTTTCGAATATATAAGGAGGTGGAAGTGGCAGCTGCTGCTAGAGGCGTCCCGACGTGGTGGCTGGTCCCCCGCATCCCTCCATCCCTCCCCACCCTCCCCGCTTCCCTCTCCTCCTTCCTCCCTCGCTCCGGCCCCGTTGCTCTTCCTCCCCCCTCCCCCCTCCACCCCGGGCCCGCTCCCTACCTCGTCCCGGCCAGCTGTGCCCAGCGTTTGTTGGTCGCCCTGCGCCCAGCCCTCCGGCCAGCCTTCTGCGGGCCCCACCGCGATGGAGCTGCCTCAGCCGGAGCCCGCGCCTGGCCTGGCTCTCAGTCCGGCCGGCGCGCGCGGTGGCGCCGAGCGTCCGGGCCACCTCCCGGGACTCCGGCTGGGAGCTCATGGCTTCCTGGGGTCCCCGAAGCGCGCGGCCGCTTCCTCGCCGGTCACCACCCTCACCCAGACCATGTACAACCTCGCCGGGCTTGGCAGGTAGGGTGCCCCAAGGAGGCTGGATGTGGGATGAGAGGCCCGCACCAGGGTGCTGGTTCCGGGCCTCCTTGGGGAACCCGGCATAGGAACCGAATCCGAGAGGCAGAGTTGGGAGGTGTCCCGGGCAGAACCTGCTTCAGGGGCTCGGGACAAGGGCAAGGAGGCCAGGGCTGCGCTGCTGACCCGCTCCTGGTGACTTGCTCTTGGCCAGCACCAGTCTCTGGAGACCCTCTTTCTCTTTCCCCCTCCTCCCTCGGTGTTCCTCCACCATGCTGTCTCCCTAATCTCTGCCCGAATTGCCACCATTTTGCCCCAGGCAAGGGATCCTGAGCCTGGAGGGGGAACTTGAGGGTGGTAGAGCTGTCCCATTCTCATATGTCCATGCCCCTGCTCCCTCCACCCAGTTCTTCCCTGGGGTTAAGGGGTTAAAACTGGTCCTGCTCCCTGAGCAAGTCTGCAGGGTCCAGGCGGGGTTGTCCTTGAGCAATAGAGACCCAAGTCTCCATCCTTCCTCCAGAAAGGCTCGTGGATGGGTAGGGGCCTCAAGAGTTTAGGGGCAGGCCCTCCAGGGCCGTTTTGCTGCCCCACCATCCCAGGGGATGGCCCCCAGCCCACCTGCTAGCTCTTGCCCTGGGCTCACCTCCCCCTGTACCCAGGAAGACCTTTCTTAAATCAGTCGACAAAGACAAGACACTTAGGGCCTCTGTAGAAAGCCTGAGACGAGGGTGGGCCCTCTACACCATCACCTCCCTGGGGGCAGTGCAGAGGCTAGATCGCTCTTCAGAGGTGGGTGGCTGGTGGGAACACGGGCCAGCCAGCCCTTGAGCCCCATATTTACCTTTCTCCTTCTCTGGGTCCCTGCTCCCTTCCCAGCGAGACCCCAAAGACTCAGGTAGGCAGCCTGCTGACACGCCTATCCCTGTCCCGGCGGGCGTCTGAATCCTCCCTGTCGTCTGAGTCCTCTGAATCTTCTGATGCAGGTGAGGCCCAGGGGTGCCAGGGGAGTTTGGGGGGCTGCCTGAGCCTCCCCACTTCCCTGCAGATCAAACTAACACCCATCCCACACCTGGTGGGCTCAGGAACTTCCCTCAGCCCACCTCTGATGGGGCTCACCACACCCAGCCCAGACTGGCGGAGCGGGGAGGTTGGGCGGGGCCCTCTGAGGAGACAGATCTTACCTATTTGAAACTGGGCGCCAAAGTCCCTGAACCACAGTCCTGCCTGGGAGGCATTAGGGCTGAAAGTTGGTCGTTTTATAACATTCACTTGCCTTTAGCTGTAACTTTTTCCTTCAAAAGGTTGTTATTTCTTCTAGAACAAATTATTTTAAACCAGTTCAAGAAAAACACCTAGCGAAGTTTAGGTTTAAAAACCTATGTAGAGGAGTTTCCATAGTAAACAGGGAGTGGAGTCCTTAGGGTCCATGGGTGGGTTTTTTTGTTTCATTTTGTAATGTGCCAAGATCTAAAATAGAAACAGGTTTTTTCGCTTCTCTGAATAGGGTTGGGAATGGTGGAGAAAGTGCAGGAAATCCCACTCCTTTCAGACCAAGGCGCTCTGTCCCCCCAGGTCTCTGTATGGATTCTCCCAGCCCCATGGACCCCCAGATGGCGGAGCAGACGTGAGTAGAGAAGAGGGATTCCCACCATCAAGGAGTTGGTGCCTGCCCCTGGGAATCCCATTTCTAGCATGAACTCTGGAGAAGCCTGGGAAAGTGGACAGACCCCCCCCCCCCCCATCCCCATTGTGGGGACTAATTGACCTTCCCAAGTCCTGGGATTCTGCTCCCTGACTCAGAGAAGGGTCTGCTCTCACGGGAGCAGCTGAGAGTGGGCTCAGGGCTGGAGTGGTGGGGACAGTGGCCACTGGTAGTAGTAGATACTTGACTCCAGCCAGCCCTTGTCTTATGGGAATACAGGCCTGGTGTGGATCCTGTTTTTCTTTCTGCCCTATACACATATTTTTCTGTGGAATATCACAATTTTAAAATATAGTCCAACTAAATCAAAACCTTTCTGTTCGCTCTAAACCAAACAAAACAGTTGCTGCAGGCTGGTTTGGCCTTCGGCCATCCTATCAACAACCTCTGGCTTCAGTGACACTTGACCCTCTGGCCAACCCCTGGACCAGGCCCTTTGTGAGAGGGAGCTGGTTCTACTTGGGACAGATCCCTTTCCCTTGGTTGTGGGGCATGAGGAGCACCTTCCAGAACACAGCTGTTCCCATCCAGCTGTTGGGCCTCAGCAGGGAGAGCAGCTGCCAGGCAATAGTGGGGACAGCTGGCATCTCCAGCCTGGGCTGGGGGACCATGGCTTTGGGTTTAGGGTAGTGGTTGTCTTTCCTCCCATTGTCTTTGATCAGACTAGGCTGGGCTGCAGGGTTCGTTCACAAACAGGAAATGAGTTGGGGGGGGGGGATTGGGTGGGGGTGTGGGGAAACACAGGTTAGGTTTTGGTGGCAACACAGAGCTGTCCTTGCTTAACCCTCAAGGCCCAGGTGCAGATCGGAAAACAAGCCAATGAAATTGGTCATCCCTGATGCCAGGTTGGCTGGGCACAGCCACCCTCCCCCGGACCTGGGAGCCATCCCCCTGACATTTTAGCCCTAAGTACCCCCCCCACCTCTGCACCTGCTTTGACAGTTACACAGTTTCTCAGAAAGAAGTGTGTGTGTGTGTGTGTGTGTGTGTGTGTGTGTGTGTATGCATAGACACATAAAAGCCCCAAGTAGCAGGTGGTCTCTGGTAACATAGCTAGCGGGGTGGGGCCTATCTATAGAAGCTTGTGCCCTAGCCTCAAAAGGAACATCTGTTGGAATTCCTTGCCTGCTGGCCTCTTCTAAGGCAGGAGGAGGGGGTGGGACAGAGGCTGGGTCCTGGAAAATTCCATAGGAGGGAGGAGAGGATGTGACTCTGCACATTTGTCACTCAGGGGTCTGGTGTGGCAGCCTGGGGCTGATCCAGGGGTGTGCTTAACCAGGCCCCTGTCCTGGGGGGAGCCAGGACAGTCCCACATAAGGGGAAGGAAGCCCAGCCTTGCTGGCATCCAGGCCCTGGAGATACCCACATTGTTGGGCCAAGGCCTGTCATCGTGGCATGGATGGATGCCTTTCCTGGCGGCCATATGGCCCCGCTGAGGTGATTTGCATACAGGTGGAAGGCCTGTGGGCAGGCTGGTGAGACTGTTGCCTTGGTAACGCCTCAGCCACCCTGTGACCTGCCCCAGCTGTCTCCATCGCTGCCATTCTCTCAGCCCTCTTCCATTCAGGGCAGCCTTTAAAGTCCCAGGCTGCCTCTCATCTCCCCCCTCCCCAGTACCTGGGCCCCCTGATAATTGGCATTCTTCCTATCTCCTCTTTCCACTGGCCTGAGTGCTGGCCCCTGAGTCTTGTGGACTGGGGACCTGATGCTTGAGGTGGACGATGGACTGTAGCGGGACGTGGACTGCATGGGACCCTTCTCTCTCCTAGGTTTGAACAGGCCATCCAGGCAGCCAGCCGGGTCATTCGAAAGTGAGTGCTCTGGCCTTCTTCATGCAGGCTCCAGTGGGCTACCCACCACAGGCTCCCCCCACAGCCCAGCTGGGGTTGGGTAGAGTAAGCAAGGAAGGGTGCTTTCCCAGGCCCTCCCATGGGGTGCACAGGGCTCTGTGGTAGAGGGGCATCCTGCATGCTCTCTGTCATGGGTCTTGACGTGTCCCTGTTTCCTTCTGCAGTGAGCAGTTTTCCATCCGGCGCTTCCAGTCCTTGCCGGTGAGTGCCCTGTGAGGCCTGATGGGAGGTTCAGGCCTCATGGGAAGTTCAGCCACGTTGACCAGGATTGGGGAGGAGCAGGAGGGTTCTGGGGTCAACTTCCGGAGGTTAGACTTGAAGCCGTCAGGTGTCCCTGATCTGGCTGTGGGAGATGGAGTTGCGGAGGTAGATGGAGGAGCTGGAGGAGTTGGAGGAGGGATGGGAGAAGGTCGGGACTGTGCTGTTGCCAGAGGAATGCAGCCTTCAGCACCTGCTGCCTCCTGACTCCCTAGGTGAGGCTTCTGGGTCACAGTCCTGTACTACGGAACATCACCAACTCCCAAGCGTCCGGCAGCTGGAGGAAAAGCGAGGCATGCAGCCGAGCTGCCCACAGCTCTGGGGAGGACAAAGAGAATGTGCGCTTCCAGAAGGCTGGAGTGGGAGCATTCCAGAGAGAGAAGGGGGTGTGCTGGGATGCTTTTCTGGCATTTGATGATGTCCCCCCCCCCAACCCCGATCTTGCCCACAGGATGGATTTGTCTTCAAGATGCCATGGAAGCCCACACATTCCAGCCACGCCCATGCTCTGGCAGAGTGGGCCAGCCGCAGAGAAGCCTTTGCCCAGAGGCCAAGCTCGGCCCCCGACCTGATGGTACACCAGGAGAGCTGACCTGTGCAGGGCAGGCGTGCAGGCAGGGCGGGTGCTCCTGACGGCAGCCTCAGGGATGGGAGGGTGATCCTGAGCCCCAAGGCAGTGGGAACCATTTCCCAGAAGGATGAGGGATGGGGATTGCTTCAGGTCCCCACCCCTAAGTAGCCCGTCTCTGTTTGTCATCCATTCAGTGTCTCACCCCTGAGCGCAAGATAGAAGTAGAGGAGCTGAGTCCCCTGGCCCGATACTGCTTCTCCCTGACCCCCACCAAGGGGGCCACCGAGGAGGATGATGGATTCGTGGACATCCTGGAGAGTGACTTAAAGGTAAACAGGCTTGTGCCATCAGGCCCCCTTCCTCTCCCTCCCTGGAATCTCCCAAAAGAAGAGAGCCTTGAGCTCCTGCAGCAAGACTGTGACCTCAGTCCAATGTCAGAAGAGGAACTGGAGGTCACCAAGTCACAGTCTGAGCTCTGGCCAATCAGAGAGGAGCAGGCGGCTGCAGTCAGAGGAGGATGCGCAGGGCGGAGGGAAGGCTGGCCCTCCTGCCTGGCTACACTTCTCACAGTTCTGCAGAAGCCCCAGCAGCAAGTGGGGCCCTGCAGCTTCCTGGTTCTTGGGGGCTGCCCTGTGTGGAGGTGCTAGCAGGGCCAGCGAGGGCTGCTGGCCTGGGGGTTGCTGGGAGAACGAGGAAGGCTGCGCTGGAGGTCTCAGGGCCTTGAGGGGTTTGGCCTGTGCCTGAGGATGTGACCATACCCTCGCTGACTTGGCCTCAGGATGAAGATGCAGTCCCTCCAGGCATGGAGAGCCTCATTAGCGCCCCACTGGTCAAGACCTCGGAAAAGGAAGAGGAGCAGGTGGGCCTCTGGGGTGGCCCCTCAGGACTTGGAGGGGTAGGGTCCTACCCTTCAGGTGGGATTTGGGGGGCAGGGGCTGGACACACTGACCCCCAACCTGCTGCCCCTGCCAGGACCTGATCATGCACAGCAAGTGCCAGCGGCTCTTCCGCTCTCCATCCATGCCCTGCAGCGTGATCCGGCCCATCCTCAAGAGGCTGGAGCGGCCCCAGGACAGGGACCTGCCCATACAGAACAAGCGGAGGAGGAGCGTGACCCCTTCAGAGGAGCAGCGGGAGGCCGAGGAACCTGTGAGTGCCCTCTCCTGGTCCACTCTGCAAGCCCTTCTCAGCCGGGTTTGTGGCAGAGGGCAGGGTGCAGGGAAGAGGGGATACCAGCCAGATGGGGCACTGAGAGGCAGCCTCACCCCTGACCTTGGCCACCGTCTGCCTCACAGAAAGCCCGCGTTCTCCGCTCGAAGTCATTGTGTCACGATGAGATTGAGAACATCTTGGACAGTGACCACCGTGAACTGATTGGGGATTACTCCAAGGTACCAGCAGTGGGGCCTTCAGGAGGCACGACCTTTTACTGACTGCGGCCCCCAAGCCCAGCAGCTGCTTCAGCACCTCCCTCTCTTCCCAGGAGCCACCTTCGCTTTGTCCTTCGAATCTTATCATCCTTTATTCTCATCTAGACTCCTCTCTCTGACTCTCCTTGGTCTCCTGACTCTATCTCAAATCTGTCCAGGGCATCAGTTGTATTTCAACCTTGGAAAACATTTCCAAACTAACTAACATCTAGCTTGGAAACTCCTTGGGCCTCATCCCCAACTTGGCAGAGCATGGGGACAGGAAGCAAGAGTTCATCTCTTCTGCTCCTCTTCTTTATTTCCCTTTGGAAGGTTATTCCCTGGGTGTCAGATTCAAGAGACGCCTGTTGGTTGCTATCGGAACCAGAGCTGACCTTGAAGGTCAAAGCAGGTGTGGCCTCTGGGCTTGGGAATGAAACTCCATTCTTTCCAGGCTCCTAGTCTTACCAGTTTCACTTTCTTTCTTCTTTCTGTCTCAATCTCTCTCTCTCCCCGCTTCCTTTCAGGCCTTCCTCCTACAGACTGTGGATGGAAAACACCAAGACCTCAAGTACATCTCACCAGAAACGGTACGTGGGGATGAGCCATTCTCCGGGCATCTTTGGGACTGCTGTTTGCCTGTTAACTTTCCCTGGGGATGGGCTGCAAGCACTGGGTCAGCTGTAAGGTTAGGGACCAGCTCCTGTCTGCCAGCCTGACCTGCTGGGACCCACGTCCATGGCCTCCTATAGATGGTGGCCCTGCTGATGGGCAAGTTCAGCAACATCGTGGAGAGGTTTCTGATTGTGGACTGCAGATACCCGTACGAGTATGAAGGAGGGCACATCAAGGTGAGGCAGGGTCACAGGGAGAGACCCTGAAGACCCACCCTGTTCTATCCTTTCTGTGCCAGGAGGGTGAATTGGTGGATGGTGGGTGCACCCTCTCATGGGGAAGGATCCTTCTCAGCAGGAGGTGGGGCCACCTGTCTGAAAGTTGGGGACTGCATAGGGGAGGGGTCCACTGCCCAGGCCCAGGGCTGTGGCCTGACCTCCGCCTCCTCTGGCAGACTGCTGTGAACCTGCCCCTGGAACGGGATGCCGAGACCTTCCTGCTGCAGAGCCCTATCACTCCCCGTAGTTTGGACAAGAGAATCATCCTCATTTTCCACTGTGAATTCTCATCTGAGCGCGGGCCCCGCATGTGAGTCCCAGCTCTGCCCAGCCGGCTAGTGTCTGCTCCTATACTTCCCCACCCACGCTTGTGCATGCTGGAGCCATCGAATGGCCAAGAGGCCCGAGCCTAGCTCCCACCCCTCCTCAGCCTGGGCCTCTTGTTTCATCTGATGGCCTGGAGCAGACCCCAGCCTGCTTCCCTGTGCATGGCACCCTCCTCCCATCTCCCTCTCACTGTCCTTCTGGTCAGGCATCCCCTCCACCCTCCGTCCATTGCCGCCACCCCCACAAAATCTGGTTCCAAGTCTCCAGCAGTGTCCTTAAAATCCAGGGGCCCTGTCCCAATCCTCATGACGTGGACCCTTCAGAGTTCGATTGTCCTTTCCTCTCCCCACCTTGTCCTCACCAGGTCTTATCCAGAACTCCTGAATTCTATGTCTTGAACTTTGTCCACTTCTTTCCTTTCTGCTTCCCCTTTCCCAGTCCAGGCCAGATATCGCCAAGAAAGACTGTGCAACTGCCTTCTAGAAACAGAGAGCCCCCTTGATTCACCTCCTTCCTTCCATCTCCCTAACCTCTTCTAAGCCCTAACCAGACGTCTAATAGTGTTCTTGTGGCTGACATTCCTGCACTCAGAAACCTGCTGTCGCTCCCCAAGGCCCTCAAAGGAGTGGGTGCAGGGAGCAGGTCCCCTGAGGTACACCCCACTGCATGCCCAGCTCTGACCCCCACACCCCTGCTGGTCCCAGGTGCCGTTTCATCAGGGAAAGAGACCGCGCCGCCAACGACTACCCCAGCCTCTACTATCCTGAGATGTATATCCTTAAAGGCGGCTACAAGGAGTTCTTCCCACAGCACCCGGTACCATGGCTGGGGGTGGCCACAGCCTCTGTGGGAGGGTTGGATTGCAGAGAAAGGGCTTGGGCAGGTGGTAGCCCTCAGAGAAGGGCTGGGTCCCCCCCAGAGTTACCCAGGGCCTTCACTGACTGACCCCTCCCATCTTGCCCTAGACCTTCTGTGAACCCCAGGACTACCGGCCCATGAACCATGAGGCCTTCAAGGACGAGCTGAAGACCTTCCGCCTCAAGACGCGCAGCTGGGCTGGGGAGCGGAGCCGGCGGGAGCTCTGCAGCCGCCTGCAGGACCAGTGAAGGGCCGGCGACAGTCCCACCTGCCTTCCTTGCCTCGCGTGGCCTGGGCGCCAGCCGCCCAGTGGCCTGCAGGGCCGAGGGTCTGCCGGAGGCCCCAGGTGCTGTCCAGGGGAAACACGGCGAGGGTGTCCTGTCCGTCTGTCCCTCGCCCCATCTCCTGTCTCACTCCAACCATACTTCATATTCTGGTGCTCCCCCCCTCCCCTCACCCCTGGAAGAGCCCAGCCTGTTGAAATTGGATTAAGTCCAGCTCAAAGGAAGTATTTTGTGTCCATCAGGAGCCTTTTTGCTTTCTTTCTTCCTTGTTTGGGTTAGCCCTTTGTCTTCCTGTGTCCAGAAGGCCCCCTTTTTTCCCAGGGGCTTTGTTTGTATGTACGAGGCTGGGGGAAACCTACCCCACCCCCCAGGAGGGGCCGAGGCTGCGCTGCTCCCTACCCTGGGAGTGAGCCCTGTGCCTGGCCTTCTGCAGCTCTCCTGGGGGTGTCTGCCATGTTCCCTCCCTCCTGTCCCTCCACACGAACACTTCCAGCACAGACGTAAGCTCTTACTCTTTCCTGTTTCAGTGTTACCTGCTTGATTTGTTGGTCTGATTTTCTGTCATCTCAGGATATTCACAGGCTGAGGTTTAGGTTCCCCCTGTGCAGTTGGGGTTAGAGACTCAAATGTTAATTACTGGCCCCGGCTTCTTTGCCTCAGAAAGGGATATTGTTATCCTTGGGGGCCCTCGGTGAGGGCTACGGCCTGCATCCTGAGCCCGCTGCAAGCCCGGCTCCCACTGCTGTGAACCCTGGGGCCTGACTGGTCAGGACCTGCTGCTGTCTTGTCCTGGACGGACGGATGAATGGATGGATGGATGGATGGCCGTGGATGCACAATGCCTTGCACACACAAACCCGCGGAGTGGAAGCATTTCAGTGAGTGTGACAGCCTGTGGCAGGGATATATGTGTATCTGTGTGGACAAAATCTTTACACTTTAAGGTTTGGAAATATTCAAGAGGAAACGTCACAGAAGCAGCTAAACCAAGGACAGAGCCACGTCTGGATTCTGAATCTCAGGATGTGGGAAGGGCTGTGTAGAAGCCCTGATGAGTCACCTGCTAGGGCTTTGTTTCAATAAAGCACTGAGCAAGTTGAGTAACCAGCATCGTGTCCTGGGGCCCTTGACAAGACCATGGCAGACCCTGATGGTGGCACAGGGTGAGGGGCAAGCCGGTCAGCAGATTGGGGCTGGAAGACTCCTGGGGAGGAGGTCTCAGGCTCTCTTCCCAAGTCTTGCCCAGATTTTGGATTCAGCCTCCCCGTGCCCCTCATCTGGCTGCTCAAGCACCTCTGACTGGGCTCATCCTTCCTAAACTTCGCACCAAGAAGGCAAGAGCGATGCCATCACTCCTCTAGAATTGTGAATGGCTCCCCATTGCCCTCAGGATAAACTTAAAAGTCTCCTGGCACTGCCTTTGAGGGCCTAGGCCCTCCCCAGCCTCACTCCTCACCTCTCGCTGAGTCGAACGCCCACAGCTTGCTCTACACATTTCCTTGCCTTTGCATCTGCTGTATTATCCTCAGGAGTGCTGTCCCCCATCCATTAGTCCTTTAAGATTTGATTTCAAATGTCACCTCCTCCCAGAAGCCTTCCTGGCCTGTCAGGGAAATGGTTTTCCTCTCAGATACCCCAGCACCCTGCAGAGGTTCCACCAAATCGGGCCAGATTTGGTTCAAGACCAAAAGAGTGGGAAAGGGCCAATCAAGAACAAGCCCAGTCCCGGGCCCGAGCCCAGTGTCTCAGGACATCCCCTCTGAATACCACTGCGGATGAGAAGATGACCCCCCGGCCCCCAAATGTGCACTATCTATGATTGCGGGGACACCTTTGCAAATGTACGAATAAGATGCCGCCTGATGAAGAGTGCACACACGTCAGGCATCCTTCCCACTTTCTGTCAAAGTTCATCTGCCTTCTGAAGTAGTGCGAGGTGGTGCGATGATTATTCACTTCATTTCGCAGATGGGAAAATGGAGGCTATTTCTTAGCAGAGCAACAGGCAGGGACTCTGGATTCCCAGGCTGAGTCTAAAGGCCACCTCCCTGTCTCCCACCTTGTCCCCAAGGTTTCTTATGCCCCAAGGACTGGTCTTCACTCTTGGTGCAGAGCCCCCTGGAGAGGAACAACGGGTTGGGGGTGGTGGGGTGTAGTGTTGATGGTCTGAGGGCTAGGCCCCTGCTGAGGGAGGGAGGGGCCCTGAAGGCTCCGGAAGCCCCTTTCCACTGAGCAGGCAGCTGGCACGAAGACCAGCATTTATTTGGGTGAGGGGACTTGCCCCAGAAAAGCGAAAATAAATGTGCAGACCTCTGAGAAAGAGAAACGAGAGGAGGGGAGAGAGTGAGCCCTGGGCACTGTCATGTTGAGACTTGCCTGCTCCACCCTGAGTGCTCGGGCAGTCTTGTGACCCCTTCCCCCTTCCCGTTTTTACAGAGGAGCAAGGCAGCTGGATGCTCAGAGAGGGCACTCACTTGACCCAAGTCACACAGCAGATACAAGCAGAGCAGGCATTCTAGTGCCCAGGACTCTCCCACTCCTCACCCCCACACCCCTTGGTCCCAGAGCAGCCAAAAGGGTAGGGCTAGGCTGCCTGGCTTCTGCTCTGAGTGTCCACTTCCCACTCCATCAATCTGGATCAGGCCACATGGGGAGGAGGGAGCAACGGGTGCTGAGTGTCTGATAGGGCCCAGGCTGTGTGCCAGGGGCTGACATCAGAGGCCACGCCCGCTCTCCTCTCCCATAACCCACGATCACACTCACAGCGGCAGTCACGGGGCCCTGAGCCTGCTCCAGACACTTACATATTGACTTAGACCCACCAGCTCAGCTTTCAGCTCATTTTGCAGGGGAAACGGAGGAGGAGGGCAGGGAGGGACACTTGGTCAAGCCAGGAGACAACTCTACCCCAAGAGAAGGCCCTGGAGATGACATCCACCCTGAGGGAGGTGTGGCCTAGGCCTGGGAGAAGGGGCTCCAGGGGTTCACCTCTCCAACTCAGGCTAGGACCCCTCCGCCCCTGGGAAGTTCAGGGGATGGGGCAGAGGTGCCCCAATCCCCCTTCCCCTGAGCAAGAGAACTTTCTTTCTGGATGCTCATAAAGAGGAGAGGATCAGGCAGGGAAGTGGTTTAAAATCCTGGGCTGCCAGCCAGTTTTAAAGGTTGTTTTGCTCGGGCCAGGGTGGGGCAGGAATTCCAGCCGGCGAGGAGCCTGGGAGCAGCCACGTGCAGCCGGCTCACGTGGTTAAAGAGCTGCGTGGGGCTGGGCCCAGCGGGGAGCTGGCCTGAGCCAGGCCGGGTCAAGGCAGCAGCACCAGTGGGGTCTGGGCACCGTCTGAACTGCTCACTGACTAACTTGCAATGACAAATTTAAAAAAATAATGTTTTCTTTTTAAATTGAGGAATAATTAACATTTCATCAAGGACACACATCTGAAGCATAGGGCACAGACCCGAGGAACTACCTACCACACAGCTAAGACTCAGGACATTCCTTGCATCCCAGGAGGCTCCCTCATGCTCCCTCCCAGTTCCTCGCACTCCAGAGGTCACCACTATTCTGACCTCTATCAGGGTACATTAGTTTTGCCTGTTCTCGAGCTTCATGTACATGAAACCGTACAGTTTGTAGTTTTCTGCATCTGGTTTCTTTCACTCAGCGTCATGATTTTGAGATGCATCCATTTTCCTTCAGCAGGAGTTTATTCTAGTTCACTGCTGTATGTCCATTATATGGCCATACTCCTAAATGAATTATTCATTCTACTCCTTTTTCTTCTCGTTTTTAAATTTAAAAAAATTAAGGTATAACATATATGCAATAAAATTCACCCTTCTGAGCGTACAGTTCTGTGAGTTTTGACGAATGCATACAGTTGTGTAACCATCACCATAAGCCAGACATAGAACATTTTCATTCTGCCCTTGATGGATTATTTGGGACTACTTCAAATTGTGCTGGGAACATACCCAGGAGAGAATTGCTAGGTGTGGTGTGTGTGTTCAGCTTTAGGAATTTCCACACTTCTCCACGGTTGATTTACCAACTTACTTTCCCACCAGCAGTGTCTGGAGAGGTGTGTTGCTCCACATTCTTATCAAAATTGGTAAATTTTAATTTCTCTCTCTTAGCTAGAAAATTTGATTGTCATATATAGCAAAGAGCTCTGATAACTGTCAAGTGCTGAGCCTCCACGCCGTGCCGTGGCAGGAGCAGGGGTTCACGCGCCATAGACCCAGCCTGGGTTTGGACTCTCCTACATTGAAATATTAGTCTTAATGTCTTCCTCAAGTCAGATTCTTAAAAGAGTTAAAGTAACTCTTTGGAGTTAATTGGCTTACGTCACTGGCTTGGGTCCCTCCACTGACGACAGCTCACAACCATCTAGAAGATTTATGATTTCTAAGAAGTCTTTATCCTTGGAATTGAACAGGCCCCCTACTTTCCAGAGGCAACGAAACTGTTGGTGGTGCAGAAAGGATGTTTAGACAAGGAGGTCCACGGCCACGTGGAATCTGGAAAGGATCAGGAGAGGGAAGTTGAGTAATGATGGAGAAGCTGCTGTTGCGCAGCCATGAAAGTCATGCCTTGAGAGGAGGCTGGATGACATGGAGTTATTCACAGTCTATTGTTCCAAGAAGACAGTTGGTTATGGGACAGAAGGCAAGAAGCATTCCCACCCAACCCACCAGGGCATTTGTGTGGGTTCCAGGCAGTGCCGCAAGGGTTGTCTCCGCCCCACCCAGCCTACAGCCCACAGCCCACACTGGCACACACTCCCCTCCGAGTGGGTGGTGACTGCAGCTGCCAGGCTCTGAGTCAGCGGGGCCTGGGGCAGCGGGAGGGGAAGGGGCCTCACGTGGCTGGGCCCGAGCTGCCTCGTGGGGCCTCCTGGCTCTCAGCCCTGCAGGAAGCGTGGCCGTTTGAAAGGACGAATCACATATGGCCTCGTCCTCCTGGGGCCTAGCCAAGACTATTTCCACGGGGCCTGGGGCTCCCTGAGGGAAGCAGGGGAGCCTCTTGGGGTGGAATTGAGAGTACTGGGGAAGGAGGTCATCCAATTGGGGTGAGAACAGATCTCCCAGGGTTGGGTTGTAGAGAGTAAGCAGGGCTGGGGTTATGGCCTCCTGGAGCTGCGTGGGCACTGAGCCAGCCCCTGGGGTGACCATGAGGGCACAGGGGGACAAAGGGACACACGAGGGGAGGTGAAGGGGCAAGCTGAAATCTATCAACATGTACACCCCCCTCAGCACATGTGCAACATCAGGAAACTTACTTGATCTCATTGCCTCAATTTCCTCATCTGTGAAATGGGGATCATAAAGCCCCTCCTTCAAAGGGGTGTAGATAGGATCAAATGAGTTGGTGGATGTAAAGCACTCAGGACAGGGCTTGCCCACAGTAGGTGCCGAACAAGAGTCTTCTGTGGCTGTTACTACTGAGGGCCAGCGTGGGGATCACAAGATCAGACAGGCAAAAAGCATAAGCCCCAAAACACTTACTTAAAAGAAAGCAGCCAGCCTGAGGGTTTCCTCCCCTTTCTGAATATGGACAAGCTGCTGGGTGTCCTGTCACAGGAGAAAAGCCCAGCCTGTGTGTAGGAGCCCAGGGCTGACTGCATCAGTAAGGGTAGCAGTCAGCAGGTTGTGGATGGGGGTTTCGTGGAGACAGAGGAGGAGGAAGCTTTCTGGTGGCTTGTGGGAGGCGGCCCATGCAGGGTGATGGCATCTCTGAGACGGCCCAGGGAGGTGGAGAGGATGGAAGGACGAGGCTTGCCTGACTTTGGTCCCCTTTATTCTAGAGCAACCATATCTGCTCAATCTCAGCCCACATGGATTCTCAATAAAGCAGAACCCCTCTTCCTGTTAGTTTCCTGCTCTACAATTTGAGAAATGTCTAGACTGCCCTTATCAGGAAGTCATTCAAAAAAACTCACTGCCTGGGGCTGACAGATTCCACCTAACTGCCCTCCCCACATCCAGAAGTGGGTGGTGGCTCAACTGGTCTGGCCTGAGGTCTTGGGGTCTGTAAAGATCATCAATAAGGGTTTCCAGCTGTCAAAAACCAATGCGGCCCTCTCAAGGGAGAGAGCTCCCTGCCCCTGGAGG